CAGTCTAGCAATGACCAAACCAGGGTACAAACAACAAACTACAAAGCATAAATAAATGCTGATGAAAGCATTCCATAAAACATTAAAGAACCTGAAAGCAAACTTATAGGAAGCTGAACTGAAGTCTATGTGCAGCGTGCACTAGATATACATTATGGAAGAGCCCAGACTAAAATGAGATGTTATTGTTGATGTTGAAAATCAGAGCAAATGCCACATGTTACTTTATTTGCGTCTGGTCGGCATAAAACAGAGCTAAAAAAAAATTGATGCAAATTCATTGATTACCTATCCTACTCTATGTTCTGTCCCACCCTACATTACGAAAATAACACACCAATTACCTGCAATTGCCCTTACAAAAAATCAAAATATTGACTGGCATGCGGCCCAAACATAGCGCAATACAATACTGGCGCACTTTCGACATTCTGACAAGGATTGGCATTTGACTGCGTCAATTTTGGTCTCTGAAGCGAAGGAAAGCTGTCATTGATGACGCAATAATAATTTTACAATCAATTTTTCTGTCTTGGTTTTTGAATACCTCAAAATAGCAGTTATACATGTTACAAAACCACGTAGCTGGTCGCATTTATTTCTTTTGTCTTTTTACGTCCTTATCATTTGTATGCCGATTGCCGAGAGAGGATCAGCCGGAGAGCATTACCAAGACCAACTATAAAATTATTACATTTTATTTAGTATTTACTGTCTCTTTATTTCCTAACCGGTGATTAACCTCTGAATTGTAAAACTTTAGCTGTTGTGTAAAATAATATTATCAGAATGGCACATTAATATGCATTATACAACGGTGTTTTCGCAACAAGTTCGCACTAACTACGGCTCCAATAATTTAGTCGCTGTAACATTCCTTGCAATCAGCTGTTGGTGACGCTTCTGACGCATGTTTCCAAAAATGCGTGGTTCATTGGTTAGTTGGATTTTGCTGGGCTTTTGCATGATTTGTTTTATGTGTAGATCGACTGGATACGCATTATTCACCGTGCCACTATTTATTTTTAACTGGAAAACGCATATCTTTTTATATCAACATTCATTTTGATAACAGTATCATTCCAGAAGCCTAACATTGAGAGGAACCAGAGTGAAATTTTGATCCTCAGCCAATGCTGAAGGGTAAGATGAGAGAAAGATTTTACTGAATTCTTTTCAGAAAGGAATTTCAAATGTATTGATGCATTATTCGTTTTCCATTATCCAGTGTGCACTTCCTGAGGACTTAGCATAGCAATTTCAAGTCCTTACTATTTGTTTGGCTGTCTTTTTCTGCACAACAATGAAGCAAGTAAGGTTTATATAGCTCTAGCATTGACCCAGCTGTATTTTTTCCTTGCAAAGGCAGGTTTTTAAAATTGCGGGTTATTTGCGGGTTCGGCTCAGCCAAAATCAGCTTGCGGGTAGTTGTGGTTGGGCAAGGGGTAGCTGCGGGGCGGGGCGGGTAATGAAATTGCAAATTTGGTGCATCTCTATTCCGCACCCCACTTGGGAGATGGGTGTTTGAACCCCCCCAGGGTTTTGTGAATATCTCTAAAGCGAATTTTTGGAGGGTGGATTACAATCGGTTCTATGCGACAAGTGACCACACACACCCAGCCCCAGGTCCGCTCACTCACTCCCCACATCACCTCCGCCCCACACCACACTCCAGCCCGCCTCATCCACCGAGCCGAGCCAAATAGACAGGCCTGACCCTTACCCCCCCCCCCAGCCGGTGTAACGCAGCGTGCGGTCAAATCGCTCTACCAAGCGACCCGAGCCGGTGTCATATAGTGTGGGCAGGCTGTGCCGCTTCACTCTCGGGTCATGCGGCACAGCCTACCGGTACCAGGCGGCTGCTGCCAATGCTGAGCCATAGGAACCCGGTGGATAAAGAGTATGGGACCATCAACCTGTACACGACTGTACCGCAAAGCACGCGCTGAGCCTGACGCTGCCGACCCTAAGTTAACAGCGCAGCCGATAGATGGCACCACGGTAGACGCCTGAAAGTAGACTGTACCGCAGGGCACGCGCTAAGCCCGAAGAGACTGACGGGCGGGGTTCAACGCATTTGCAGCGCACACCCAATGCCGCACACCGGCCATGAGCTTATAACGTGGCCGATAGATGGCACCACGGTAGACGCCTGAAAGTAGGCTGCACCGCAAGCCACGCGCTAGGTCTGACGCTGAATGGCTGAATGGGGACCGGTCGACCCGGAAGTGCCCTGCATCGGTGACGGATGAATCCAACCATGCCCGGCCATCAAACCGGCCGATGCCACAGCGTTTGATGTTAAAGGCCAGATATTCTGAGCATAAACGGTTTGCAATGCCCGCCTCGGCTGTGTCACATGTTTGGTGCTGATGCCTGGCTACTCAGTCGATCAATGCAGCCGAATTGGTAGACGTATGTATGTATGTATGTATGTATTGACGATCAAGAGCAATCCACAAACGGCGTGGCGATTACACTCCGGCGTGGCGATTACACTGGGAGGGCGTGTTTAGTGCCACGAACGTAAGTGACCAGTGGGATGCTTTCCTGACCGAATTTCTGCCGATTTTTGACGATCACGCACCTATAAAGAATATTACCATCCGTAATCCTACAGCACCACCAGTTACCCCCGCCACACTTAAAATCATGGATCAACGTCGTACCGCGTTACAGCAGTTCGGTAGAAAGTCGGAGGTTTACAAAGACTTAAACCGAACTGTCCGGGCCGCAGTGCGACGAGACCGACGCGGCGAACTTCACAGAGAGATTAGTGGGCGGGGTCCCAACAAGGTGTGGAAAAGTATTAGGTCGGTTGTGGCTGGTAAGAAAGACGGACCTAGTGTTCAACCTGATGTATCGGCTGACGTTTTAAATTCTTTTTTCGTTTCTGTGGGTCCCCGCGTCGCTACAGAGATCCGTGACCAAAATCCAGTTGTTGAGCAAATTGGCCGTTTGCCGCGTGTCGTAACCGGTAGATTTAAGCCCAGACCTATCTCTCTCGGTGAACTCGGTCACACCGTTTTCAATATGCGCAATTCTGCCGCCTGTGCGTCTGATGGCGTCTGCATTCGCATGCTGAAAACTGCTTTCCCATCTATCGGTGACGTTATCCTTCACATCATTAACACTTGCATCTCAAGGTCCGATATCCCCTTTCATTGGAAACACTCTATAGTTCACCCCATCTTCAAGTCTGGAAACCCATCTGATCCCACTAATTTTCGACCTATCTCCTTAGTACCTGTCATTATGAAGGTGGTCGAGCGAGTCATTCACAAACAGCTCTATCGCTATCTCTCCCAAAACCATCTTCTGGCCAATACCCAGCACGGTTTCTGACCCCGGCACTCAACTGAGACAGCACTTCTGTCCGTCAGTGACCAAATCCTGGCCGCCACCGATAGGGGGGATGTCTCTATGCTATGCCTTATTGATTTAAGCAAATGTTTTGATGTCATCAACCATGAGTTATTACTCGCTAAATTGGCAATGCACGGCATAGAGACATCCTGGTTTGCCGCTTACCTCCAGGGTCACACACAGAGTGTGTCATTGAAGGACGAGTCCGGTCGCCGGGTATTATCACAACCTCTCCCCAACTCTATGGGCGTCTTTCAAGGCTCGGCACTCGGTCCCTTACTCTTCACGGTATTTTCCAATGATCTATCACTTTATTCTGAGGATGCAGCAGTCTTCCAGTACGCTGATGATACTCAATTGTTGGTGAGTGGCCCTTTAAACGACCTTAGGGGACTCATCTCGCGCTTGGAAGCGTCACTGGCGTCTCTCGACCATTGGTTCAGTGCAAATGCTCTTAAAGTAAACACTGCTAAAACTCAGCTCATGGTTTTCGGCAGTCGGCAAAATTTGAGAAGCATACCTGCTTTCACCGTTTCTTTTCGCGACACCAAACTAGTGCCATGCAAGCAGGTGGGCAACCTGGGCGTTATCTTCGACGGCACCCTGTCCTGGGACGCGCATGTGTCCGAGCTCAGTCGCCGATGCACGGGTCTCCTAATTGGCCTCTCCCATGTCCGCCACTACCTCCCCGACGGTGTCACCAAGACACTAGTGGTGGCTCTCGTCATGTCACGGATCCAGTACTGTCTCTCCGTATTTGGTAATGGTAGCCAAAAGAACTTCGATCGCATTCAGAAAATTCTTAACTTTGCCGCTAGAGTCATTTTCGGTCGCCGTAAATTTGATCATGTCTCCCATCTCCGGGACCAACTCGGCTGGATGGCACCTAAAACAATGGCTGAATACCATACCCTTATCACGGCGCACAAGGCCATCCAGAGAGGTGAACCCGAGGAGATCGCGACCCTATTTTCCAAAAATTCCCAAACACGAGCAAGGTCTACTCGCCAAGACCACCTTTTCCACTTACCGCGACCCCGACTAGAGACCGGAAAACGTAGATTCGCCTACCGTGCCGCGGCGCTCCTAAATACTCTCCCCCTCAAGCTAACGCAGTTGCCTCCAGCCAGATTTGCCCGTGCTGTAAAAAAGGGGCTTAAGCCTAGCCAGAGTAGCCATAGTAGCTAGCCTCATGACTCTTGGACTATGAAAGGCAAACGAGTCTGTGTGTACATAGTTATGAACGCGGCTTCGTGCGGGTTCCACCAAGTAGGTGCGTGTTCGGCGTTCGCGTTGTGTATTTCGTATCCGTAAGTGTGTGCGTTTTCTTGTGTAGGTACCTATTTCTTGTGTTATCTTCAACCAGCTCGGACTCGGAGTGTAATCGGGACTGTCCGTGCTGTGAACGCACGCTTCGAGCTCACTTCCGCTGGATTATGGTATCTTTACTGTAAGTGAAATCTCGGGATGATGGTACGATGCCCGTTAAAATAGGTGTCGTAGGTAACCGTTTACCTATTTACGGTTACCTACGACACTTATCTAGTGCATGTTATTATGCCCGTTTTCAAAATATCCGTATCAAAAGTTTGTTACAATCCACGTCCATCTATCATATAAAAATAATAGTATAATACAAAGCCGTCGAAATTTATTTAGCGACGAAAAAAAACATGCGCACTTTTTGGTCAAAACCATGAATGTACGATACACTTCACACTGCGATCACTGGCACTGTACTCAAATGTTGATTTTCTGTCGTTTCCGGTTAGCGTATTTAGGCCTGAAATAACGTTGCGTGACTCAGCAAGGACACGGAGGACCATGTAAATCGCCCCACCAGTCGCATTGTGCGCTTGTAGCCGTGCGCGGCCGATGTATCTTCCACATCCCGTTCTGTTAGGAGTTCACGTCCCATTTTCATCACCGAACATACTCAAACGGTTCACAAATGCCAGCGCTGCGGCGATAGATGTACGACAAACAGACACTGAAACCGCTCACCAACGAGGAGCTTAACTCGTGACATCACAGCTCACAGAACACAGTGAGCGGTCCAGGCATCACAACAGTCAATAAGACAACCGTACGCCTATCATCACACATGAGAGCGGCCGAAAATGGTGTAAGTCGCGGCAGAACCTTGTTCATAAGACACAGAGTGTTCAATTCTCATGACGGTACCAGCGCAGATGAACCAGATCAAATGACGAACAAGGCTACCGTCAATATCGTCGTTGAGATCCGGTCGATACTCGCCTGCCTGGGGTAGTATTTGTCCCTTCCTCCCGTCAGGTGGCTCTGTGGCGCGGGAACGCCGACCAGCCGGCAGCACTGCAGACAGTGGAAAGTGGGACCAAGATTCTCGACAGTGTCGGCCAGGGTGAGCTCAATCTACGAGCGATAAGCGTTCTTCACAGAACCTTGAAGGCACTGCATTGACGAAAGGGTTCACTCGTGAGAAGGTCGCGTCATTTTCATCTCAGACAACGGTGCTTTGGTCCCAATCACTATGCAAATGTTTTCCGTTCCTCGTTTTCCACGAGGAGTCACGTATGCAAAATGATCCAGCGATGCCGCTCAGCTGACCAGCTCCTGGAAGCGGAAGCAGTCGGTGACCACCTTCCACTTGCGCTCCTGCGCGGTCAGCATGAAGTGCTGCTGGAAGCTGCGTGTGGTATTCTTCAGCCGCACCTGGCCCGAGACGACGATCAGCACCGTGGTCTGGGCGTCCACCGCCGCGCCTGGCCGGCCGGGAAAGATAGCGAGTCAGACTTAGGGATGAGAGAACAGTCACCAACCATATGCGGCAGAAACACTGACGCGTGAGTCAGACTGACGGACGAGGAACAGTTGCCGTACCATATTGGCGGCTGAGCAGACACACAGACTAATGGCATTAAAAGTCCTCGTACAACATTCGTCGGAGAGAAAGGCTGACGATTTGTTGGAAATGCTACCAAATTACGCCATAAAAATAGCGGCTAAAACACGTGAACAATACACTGCACGCACATTAATTGCCAATCCGACAATTCATCACCTCAACGCAACAGCCTCTAGTCAACACATCTCCACCGCCGTTTCCCTCATTATTCCATAAACTGCGGCCACTCCTCGGCCACCCCACTATATTCCCCTGTCCACCGTCACACTCACTTGACACAGCCTGGGCGTCCACACAGATGACCGTATGTTCGGAGGTGGGCAGCGTCTCCAGAAAGGCCTGTATGGCGTCCGCCCCGGTCACGCTGTTACCGTTCCACACCAGCGTTCCCGTGTCCAGGTATAACTTGGAGAGTGTCTGGCGAGACGCAGTCATGAGTAGATGGTCAGAATTGGGGAGCATGGTGTATCCAGCAGCTGGTCAGTGTGTCAGTGATCAGCTTTCGTTGCAAGGGATGATTTTGGTTTTAGGGTGTTGGGACTGCACACTGCACAGGGCATAGACGTTCATAGCATTAAATAAAATTTAACAGCTAAATCTATAGAATCACACAAAACTTTTATTGCAAACCGATTAACTTTAGATCAGGACACAATGAAAAAAAACTTACATGTCGTCGCTTGTCAAGAACTTCATAGAACTTCTTTACAAACTCCTGAGCTGTTACAGTAGCTTCAGTATTCAATGACTTGTCATCCTGAAAATAGGTTTGGGATCTGTGATGTTTGATGTGCATTGATAGATTCAGTGCATCTAGACTCAGTGTTTAGTATTACTTAAGACACATATCTATATAATCAGGGCATGCACAGTATATTCACTTACAGATTCACTTTTGCCAAATTGTCAAGGAACTCAGATTTGTTTTTCAATAGAAAAAACACAATTCTAAAGAATAGTGTTTTAACTATTGACAACAAACCTTCGGTTACACTTGAGTTTCTAAGCTAAAAATAACTGAGGGAGGCAAGCAGCACAAGTTGCTGGGACTAAAAAAGGAAAATGTCAATGTAACTGTTCTCAAAACAAAACTTATCAGCAAAACAAACCAGGTTTTACAGTAAGGCTCGACACATTTTACTACAGAAACCTGAGACAGTGGTTCTTTAAACTCACTAACTTTGCACCATCCAAAAAGTCTCCCAATTGTCATTGATCATCTTACCTTCAGTTCTAGCACTGACATGGTGTCTACTTCTAGGGCTCTCCTTTTCTCATATAACCCTTAATAGTAAACCTGTTGAAAGGAAAACCAGACAGGTTAGCAATGAGCAAGCACTTAGCAGCAGAGTACCTATTCTTTTAAACAACCACTATCACTAGGCCAATAGGCGTAGGCATTGCAGATGAGAATGATATGTCATGAGATATGAGATCAACACATCATAAGATCCCTGATAATGGGTTCCTTTTCCTCTGCCTATCCCTCAGACAGTAGGCTGATAGGCTTGGTAAACACTTCCGCAAACATCCGTCCGCGCATTTCACATTTGTTCGTTAGCAAGCTTCAAGTTAGATCTCTCCAGGACCAGGCATATACCCTCTGATTCGTTAATGCACGTCTGCGCGCCTGGACCATGCCTTGAACGCCTGAGATTTGTAATGCACTGCTAAGGAAGACTAGCGGAGGCTCCGTGCAGTGTGAACACCCGATATCTCATCGAAACCTGTCATGTTTTGCAGTCTGGGACAGGGCTGCAAAGTCACAGTCGGAGTCGACAGTTCTGCTCGGAGTCGGAGTCAGAGTCTTCAAATCTTGCCGACTCCGACTCCGGAGTCGGAGTTAACGCCGCATGGCTCAACGTCATGCACTGCACCTGTTCAGTGTTCTAAAATTGGAAATTGGTTGGGTGTGCCGATGAAGAGAAAAAATCCTAGGATGAGAAAAAAGAAAGTAAATAACTGAAGTATTTTTGCAAAATGGTGTAATGCGAATTTTTATGCCAACTGATAAACCAGGATTTCATGTCACGATCTTGACAGGGTGTGGAACGAAAGGATGTGGGTGCATCAACTGTCAAGTGACATGTGAACTGGCTGTTGGGAATACATGAAACTCTTTTCAGAGATGAAGTTACGTCGGTCATTCATATTTTAGGGATGAAAATATTTTCCCCATTAGGTGCGATTTACCACCAAAAAGTCTGAAAAATGGAACACTGCACCTGTTTGATTGACGATATTGCGCTCGAAATTATATTTGGTCGGAAAGTCATTTTTTTGCGAAAGAAGCAGAAGACAGTGCATTGCCCAGAACCTGCTTTTTAATTCTGCATGTTATTTTAAATGCATACCTAGTTGCAACACAAAGCCTTGGAACGCACAAGTGGAGATGTTTTATCTTGCCGTTTTAGGCAAGATAAAACATCTCCATTATGAACTTCAATATCGTGATATGGATTTTAATAGAACTGTCCGGAGTCGGAGTCAGAGTCGATGTTTAAAGCCAGAGTCGGAGTCGGAGTCACCCTAAAATCCATCGATTCCGCAGACCGCAGCCCTGGTCTGGGAACACTAAGCCCTACCAGGCAAGAACCAATAATGCACAAAAAAAAAAAACAGCAACAGCCAACAGTGTCGACACAACGGACCAGCGGTATATAGGGCCTTGGGACCAGCTAGTGTGGCAGAACTGCACCAGCCTGCATCAACCAGGCTAAAACTTGGTACAATTCAGCAACAAGCAAGACTTGGTAGATGGTTGCCACTCCTGCACTCATGATTATTATGCAAAATTGCAATTAAAGATCAATTGTTTCATGGCAGACCACATCATCTCATGCATCACTTTTTTCCCAGAAAAGGTTGCACCAGCAAAGCAATGCTGAACAGTACCTGTAAGGGCCTGTTGGCCGCGTTGCTCCATGCACATTATATGCCACACAACATCTGTAAGAACCTCAGTATAATGGGTATCACTTCGCAACACAGCGCGCAGACCAGACCAGACTGGGAAACATCCACAGTCCACACACTACGCCGGATGCCCGTGAGAACCTCTTGCGTCAAAATTCGGCGCAGGCGATTTTGCACTGAAATTTTGCATGATTTGCGCTGAAAATCGGGTGCCTATTTGTGCCAAAATCAAGCCACTTTTATATAAAGCACATGTGCACATCTACCGATCAAGGCTATATCAACCAGAGTGTTTCGGAGCTTTGGATGCTCTCCCATGTTTGAGCGTCCCGGTAAGTTTTATATTTCCACGGAAGCCCAATACCTCAATACGCTGAGGGCAATGTAGCGTCATGCCGTGAGCCGGAGCTGGAAGTTCCCGGTCCACAAAAATCGGCGGAGCGGTGTGGTCGAGACTGGCGGGAACCAGCAGGGACCGGGCAGCAGAGCAGCACGTGCTCTAGCACATCAGCCTCTTCTCGGCTCACGGTGCAGAGCGCCGCTGGGCACCGCTTGTCTGGGCACTGCTGGCACACCGCTGATTGGAGACAGCCGATTCGGTGCACGTACTAAAGCAAGCGGCCCTAGTGGCCCGCCCTCATCTGGTGCATTGAGACGGCGTCCTCAGTCTTCTCTGGGGATAGGGAGCGGCGGCGTGCTCCTGAGGACTTGAGGAGTGGCTTGAATAGGTAGTGACTAGGACCAGTTGTCGCGCCATTGATGCGAGGCCGCACAATGAACCGCCCTGGTCAGCGAGCAGGCGTTTAAGTTCAGGGCGGCCGCTTGCTTTGCCAGATCGTCTGCGCTCTCGTTCCCCTGGATACTGCAGTGGCCACTGGCCAGTGGGCAGGAGCCCACTGCCAGTACACCCGGGGCGGGCCAGACTGGAAAACATCCATACACTACGCCGGACGCCCGTGATACCCGCTTGCGCCGAAATTCGGCGCATGCGGTTTTGCGCCGAAATTTGTGCGTGATTTGCGCCAAAAATTAGGTGCCTATTTGTGCGAAAATTAAGCCCTTTTCATATGAAGCACATGTGCACATCTACTGATCAAGGCTATATCAACCAGACAGTGTTTCGGGGCCTTGTACGCTTTCCCATGTTCGAGCGTCCGAATGAGTTTTTTATTTCCACGTAAACCCAATACCTCGGCGGGAGCCAGCGAGGGCCGGGCAGCGGAGCAGCACGTGCTCCGGCACATCACCCTCTTCTCGGCTCACGGTGCAGAGCGCCGCTGGGCACCGCTTGTCTGGGCACTGCTAGCACGCGGCAGAGTGGAGACAGCCGTTCGGTGCCGTACTGGAGCGAGCGGCCCCGGTGGCCCGCCCTCATCTGGTGCACCGAAATGGCATCCTCTCGGTCCTCTCCGGGGATAGGGAGCGGCGGCGTGCTCCCGAGGAGTAGTTTGAATAGTGATTCTGAACAGTTGTCGCACCACTGATGCGAGGCCGCGACGCACAATGAACCGCCCTGGTCAGCGATCGGTCGTTTGAGGGCAGGGCGGCCGCCTGTTTTGCCAGGTCGTCCGCGCTCTCATTCCCCTCGATACTGCAGTAGGCAGGAACCCACTGCTATTGCTTAACGACGCTTGGCGAGTGGCGACGTTCAACAAGGTTTTCCATACCTATCTCTACGCCGAAGGTTGAGGCCTCACCTGGGCGGCCGTTCCTCCGCTGAGTAGACTCAGGGCGGCTCGCCAGTTCGAGCACGCGACGACCGGGGCGGGGACGTTTCGTCCCGCAACCTCTCCAGAGCCGCCCGCGGGGCGAATCTGCTGCTGGATTGACCAGCGTGCCGCATAAATTCGGTGACCGTCTTTCGCCAAAAGAAAATATGCGACCACCCTGCGCCGAAAAATGCGTCCGCCACCATGGGCTGAATTCGGCGCATGCGAAGTTACGCCGGACGTGCGTGGAAATTTTCGGCGCAATCCCGCCACTACGCCGGACATATTCAGCATAACATGTATTTTTTCCAATCTGGGGGGCGGGGACATCACGTCCCGAAACCTCTCTAAAACCTCGGGCAGGGCGAATTTGCTGCTATATTGACCAGCATGCCATCTAACTTCAGCGACCATCTTTCGCCAAAAAATTCCTTGGCCGCCCTGCGCCAAAAAATTAAGCAGCCGCCATGCGCTGAATTCTGCGCATGCAAAGTTAGGCCTGACATGCTCTGAAATTTTCGGCCCAATCCCGCCACTATGCCAGACATATTCGACATAACATGTATTTTTTCAGTCTAGCATGCAGGCCAAGGCAGAAGGTGGAGTCAACAGCACCAACAAAATCTTGTCATGATTGACATACTTCACAGTCTGGGATGGAAAATTTCCATATTTCACAATTATCATTTCTTTCAATGTAATACCACTGACCGTTACCTACCTACTCAGACATGTTTTGCAAATAATTCCGAATAAAATAGGTACCTTACCTAAGCGCAAATACCCTAGGCGATTCTTTTTGCCTGGTGAGTTGGGATTGGAAGAGACATGAGCTTGAAGTCTTGAAGAGCTTGAAGTCTACAAGCTGGTCCATGGACAATGGACATGACAAGGTGAATGCTGGAGAAGAGTTTTTGAAACTAGAGACCAGTACAAACAGGGAAAGGACACGCGGACATGCTCTCAGACTGCAAAAGCCAAGGCATCGGCTGCACAGACCAGTCTGCAAAACGTGGCAGGGTTCGACGAGATCTCGTCGGGGCAGACACTGTGGGGCAGGGGCAGAAATCGGGGCAGCTTTTGAGAAGTTGGGGCAGAGTTCGGCTCAGTTCGGCTATTCCGGGGCCGGGGCGGGGCGCACGGTACCGGGAGAAAATAATAAAGAAGCGGAGTATTGTTGAAACGCGCGAGAAAGAGTGGGCTGCGCCACAATCGTCGCTAAAGCGCAGAAATTGTCATTTGAAACTGCTGCCATATTCAAATTTCCCTTCATCAGGGCTATGAATGTTTTCCGCGCCGTGTTTCGTATTAGCAACCAAGGAAAGGTTTGTGTGTGAATTTCACGAGCCTTGATCAAATCGCCCCAGACCTAAGAAGTAAGAATCATACCGCGACCGATTTCAGCATTTGCACGGGCAATGTATTTATATGTGTGGTTTTTATGCCATACATACATAGTTCATTTAGGGCATAATCTAACCTGCCCCGAGTAGATGCCCCATTTGGGGCAGAAATTGGGCTGCCCGGAAGTCAACTGCCCCATTTGGGGCAGGATTCCGGCTGCCCCAAACACCTCGTCGAGCTGGCTGCCACGTTTTGCAGACTGGTGCACAGACGCAATCAATTTTTCTCCTCAAGAGTTGTGGACCAGTGGAACCAACTGCCTGAACATGTGGTACTGAGTCCAAGCATCAACGCATTCAAGAACAGATATGACCGTCATATGACACTGAGAAGAGGCAGCATCCTATGAGCATCCGCTCCCTATGCCTCTTTCCTATCTACTATGGTGAGCATCTACTATGGTGAGCAGACATGCACGGAGCCCTATGGCCTTGGCATAGCCTTCAGGCTCAAACATCTATAGCAATGCACCTGACAAATTTGTGGCGAACAAGTAACAACCCAGGCCCATGTCGTCCCCTATCTCCCTGTGTGTCCAAGTGCACAGATGACGTCACACGAAGGGGCGGAGTCGGGGGCGGAGCCTGGCGCAACGGCCGCCATATTTGAATTTGTTTTATTAGAATGTATTCTATATTTTGGGTTTCAGTCAATTGTTATCGATAGTTTGATGAACGGTTAGCTGTAATCATCATCACCATCATCACATTTATTTGCATCACACACACAATGTGAGGTGACAAGGTGAGGTGACAGTTATAACAAGTAGCAGTACATATACATTGGGCCAGGTAGGTACATACATTAATGCCTGCAGAACAATGCTAGGCCACGCAAGGACATTCACAAGAGCCAATCATTGGACATTCTAAAACCATCGATAGTACGTATACTTTAGTTCAAGTTGTGTGCCTGGTGCTTTCATTTGTGACTGTTATGAGCCTAAGAATTTTACGCGAATGAGAGCAAGTGCTGTTGAGCAGGAATTTGATTGTGTCCACAATTCCATCATTCATACAAGAGCCACGAATAAGCTCACCATCAATATTGCCACATGCTATGTTCATTGTAACTTCAAAATTATTATTTCCGAGGCTATGTGTAAAGCTCAAGAATGATCCGTCTAACTCTGAAGGCGTAGTAGCTAGAACAGCAAGGCTGCGAATCATTATCTGCTTAAGCCTATGATCCGAGCGAAACAGATGAGCAAAGCCGCGAAGCGTAAGCGATCGGAGAAGCTCTTGAACCTTAGGAATGCCAAGCGCTGACATTAGGGCAGAATGATGATATAAGTGATATAATGTAATATAAGTGATTTATCAAGAAAAAAACACATATTCTGCTTGCAATTTCGATTTAAGTACGACCCGCGCCTAGATTCGAACGCACGATCTTTGGATTACGGCGCAAGCATCCTAACCACTACACTACCGCGGCGGCGTGGCGGCCGGCGGATGGGAGGCGGCGGAGGCATGGGGGCTTTTTTACGCATTTTTGGAAAAACTAATGGGTTTAGTGAAAAACGCTTCTTAGATAATTCGAAGAAAAATGTCTTGGCTTTCCGATGATGCACTTAGTTTTGTGCTAGCTTTAGCAGAGTTTGTTCTACAGCGCTTCAAAAATAGCCCATTTGCATAGGACTTAAACGGGACTTTAGGACTTGCCCCCAGATGACGTCACGAGCTGACGTCACGATCAGGTAGAATCGCCGGACGACCCTACCTGGTATATAGGGCCTTGTAACAACCTACCTCAAATAACACCGTGGAAATCAAGGCCCTAGTGGAAATAACGGAAATCACCGAATTTTCGGTCTATACCTCACCGAGTTCAGTGCCTCACCGTGTCTCCGATGCGCAGGAAATGAAACATATGCGGTTAAATTGTAAACGCCGAAATTGCTACCAAATTTATTACGGCCAAATAAAAATTTGGTCATTTCAAGTTATTTCTCCTGTTTATCTGTTACTTGAATAATATTTTATTCCTGAATGTTTATTCTGCATTGTTAAATTATTGGTTTATCGAAAAAAATGACAGTTTCTTTAAATAAAATTACCTTCTTTTCTTCCATGAAGGAAAAACTTCAAGATATTTAAATCACCAATCAATAAAACATTCGATCACATGTCAAAAATGCTACATATTTCTAATGAGGCTATTTTTTGCTTTGTTCACCTTTTATGGTAAGTGGAATTCACGCAAATTCTAACTTTTCTTGTCACTATATTTGTTTGTAATAGAAGTAGACTTTCGTCTTGATTGGTGGAGAACGGCGGCTGGTTCGAGGATTGACCAATCAGACGACGAGAATTCGCCCATATCCTCGCTATGCACCGTCGGCTTCCTCTCTGTCGCTGGATGTGCAAGGCTCCATAGGGTCTCCGTTGTAAAATTGCGTTGAATTCCGGCTTTGGTAAGTCGATACTTTGTGAGTCGTGTGTTGAGGTTTTTTAAGCATAAGAAAATATAGAATCTCATCTTTCAGTTTATACCCTTGTTAAGTTTTGTTGATAGCAGAAAGGGTCTTTATTTCGCTTTTGATTCGAGAGGTTTTTCTGTCGGACGGCCGCCATTGCGTTAGTATGGCTGCCATAGTGAAGGCATTGCGTGCCGGGAGGCTGTTTTTGAAGAACGTTTACGTGTTGCCAGGTGGTTGAATGGATGTGATAAGTGTCTCAAATGCAAAAGCGATAATTTTTCTTTTCGTTTTATATTAATTTATGCATATTTAACCTTGTTAAATATCCAATAGGTGAGTTTTCCCACGACGCTGTCGGCCGAGCCTAGTGTCTGAGCGATCCCGGCGGCCCCGTCCAATGCCGAGCACGGCTGCCGGAGCCGCTGCCAATGCATTCACCGCATTGGATACGACTACGAGTAGTTATTTCTGAGGATAAATTTTGCGTGTTTCAGTGAACGGCAAACTCCGAAAATTGCTCATTTTGCATCATTGACTGTTTCTGAAGATTATGCAGTGTGTGTAAAAGCCTCGTCTTTTTTATTGCTGGAAAATGATGCTGAAAGTCTGTGACCAGGTTGACTGATGTATCATGGTTATAGCCAGAAATGTATTGTTTTCTTTCGAGGACACAATAATGACGGCAAGCTGCAAGGTTCCTAAATCATAGCATCATCAGCTTGGTTGCAAAGTTTCCCGTTCGAGGCGGTGTCGCTTTGTCCGTGTGTGGTCCGAGGTTGGCGGGAAGCCGGCCGGCCGGTCGGCCGACCGCCTCGGTTCCCAGCTGCCACGAGCCAGCCGCGGGCGGCGGCGGCCGGCCCTCGGCAGCAGCCGGCTGGTTGGCGCCGCCTGTCGGGTCCCTGCCGGTGCGGCGGCCGACGGGCGGGGAGGGGGTCGCCGCATTCCAAGTCGGCCGGCCGCTGAGCTGATCCGCCAGAGATGAAATAAAGCGCCTCTCGTTAAACCAAGAATTAACTATGCCGTGTCGGCGTCACCTGTGATTCAGCGGTGGTCACTAGCACTTAGCTGTTTTTAGAGAGTTTAACCCGCGCCCTGCTGGGGGTCCTGGATTTCCACGCCCTGCTGGGGGGGGGGGGTGTTTGAACACCCCCCCTTGTAACTCGGCTCCTGGGCCACGTAGCGATACGCGGAAGGCGGCGTTCGAAAGAGCGTAAAAAATAATGACGAAATCACTTCGGTCAATTTTTTGGTCAGGTCAAAGGTCAGGTCACCAGAGGTCATTGAAGGCAAAATTTCGCCGATTTCCAGGTCGAATGTCGAAAATTTTCAAGAAGCCAACGCATAACTCGGGAACCAATAGAGCTACAGCGCCGCGGAAAAGCGCATTCGATAGCCCTATTAACGCCCTTTCTGAATAATTCTCTCAGATTTGACCTAACGTCAACGGTTTTGCCTGCAGGGGGCAAAAACTGCAAAAATAGCCGATTTTTTCGAAAACAGTTTTTCTGCAATAACTTTTGACCCAAGCCTTGTACGAGCTTACTTTTACCGGCATCGTGTTCCTCTCGTCAAGACGCATCGAATGAACTATAACTTGACCTTGAAAGGTCAACTTGAAAATTTGACCTCAGGTCAAGGTCATGACCTGACCGGAAAGGGTCATGTTGCATATCAGTCGATCCGTATCGTCGAGCTGAACACATCTAAGGTGTTTTCATCGCTCTAGCATGCCTCTATCAAAAGTTATTTGCGAAAAACTGTTAGATACCATTCGTGACCTAAGATGACCTCAGGGCATAAACAAGGGTCACGGACACCATTTTCAAGTTCAGTGTGTCTAAACCACATGTAATTCGGTGTTTGGGAGTGTTTATAATGTCTTTCATCCAAAAGAGGCGCATTTCAATTTTCTCCCATTGACTTATAATGGGGAGGTCGCAAAATTGACCTGACCTTAGGTCATCGATATCAAAATTCTGAGATATACATTTTGTACATGCTATTGCTATTAGCAATCGCTGAAAGTTTCAAAGCGATCGGTCACTCGGTGTAGCTATGACAGACATTGAAAGTTTTTATGAGGTGAGGTCACTTCAAGTGACCTGGTGACCTGACCTTGAATGACCTTGGTCTGAAATTTTTACAACATGTGTAGAATTGATGTATGATAAGGTGTACCAAAAACGGCGGCGCTCCGCGCCGCCGTTTTTGAGATATTCGCGAAAAACCACAAGGGGGGGGGGTGTTCAAACACCCCCCCCCCAGCAGGGCGCGGGTTAACTAAAGATGGACACTGGGCCCCTGCTGACCCTGGTCAATGGTCATGTTCTTCCCCCCCCCCCAAGACAAAATTTGAAGAAATGAAATTGCGAAACGTGGCGTAATTTTTCAGGTCGTCTGATTTCATAATTGGATGCGTTTGGGTTAGTGCGCCTTCATGGAATTTAAGGAAAAAAATATATAGAGCACGTTCGATGACTTCGGAAGCCATTTAGGTAACACGAACTGTCCCTTTCTCAGGTTTCCTCAAGAGAGACCCTTAGACTACCAGGATGCCTCGTGTAAAGGACGACAAGCCGCGTGGACGCATGTCGTCCTACGCGTACTTCGTGCAGACCTGCCGGGAGGAGCATCGTAAGAAGCACCCTGATGAGGCCATCGCCTTTGCTGCGTTCTCGAAAAAGTGTTCCGACAGGTGGAAGGTAGGTGGACCCTGTTTGTTTCCTTGATTTATGTGAATGTATAGGCGTATCTCCTCATGGGTATTGGGTCAGCATGGTCTGACGATAAGTTTTTGTACGGTGGCATAATGCTGTCAACCCTGACCCTGAGACATAACTGGTTTGGCGTGGCGGTTCTTACCATTTACAAATATTGTGATGCCACAGTGCCACGGGCACATAAGCGTAGCGGCACAAGCGACACTGGCGTGCTCTTGATACCATCGATCGAGCATGCGTTATCAAAATTCAAACGATGCTCCCCATCTCCAGGTGATGAACGATAAGGAGAAGAAACGTTTCGTGGAGATGGCCGACCGTGACAAGGCCCGCTTCGAGTCCGAGATGAAGCACTACGTGCCCCCGCCGGGCGCCAAGACCAAGACCGGCCGCCGCAAGAAGGACCCCAACGCCCCGAAGCGGTCGCTGTCAGCGTTCTTCTGGTTCTGCAACGACGAGCGGCAGGGTATCCGCGAAGCCAACCCGGGCTTCACGGTGGGCGATATCGCCAAGGAGCTGGGCCGCCGGTGGGGCGAGGTGGACGAGGCTGCCAAGAAGAAGTATGTCGCCATGGCCGAGAAGGACAAGGAGCGCTACAGCAGGGTCAGTACATCACTCGCATCACAGAACATCACATCACTTGCAATGGATCCACGTTCCTTAATGATGTTTGATGTAATTTCGCAAAAAGTTTGATCACGACGCAGTCTATATAATCGGGTCTCGGCCTTTGAGGCGAAGTCACGTATTGTTCTTTAGCTCCGTTTATATTGTCGCTCTGGAATTCGTTGTAACCGTGCTGTTCGATTTCAGGAGATGGAGGCGTACAAGAACGGCGTTGCCCTGGCGGCACCAGCCAACGAGTTCGACGATGATGACGACGAAGATGAGGATGATGAGTGAGCCCTGTCCCTCAGACTGACTGACTCGAGAATGTACAAACGCGGCTGTTCGGGCCCGTGTTCTGACGTGTTGTGAACCGCGGCTGTCGTGACTTCTAAGAAGACTGGACTGAAACCGCATGCTCGTCGCGGTGCTGCTGACGGCGCGTCAGATAGAAATACGCTAAGATGTTGACGACCGCGGTGCGGCCGCCGGTTAAGACAAGAAACCTGTTGTCTCACCTCACGCCCCGCGGGGTATTTATTTTACAGGGAGTGACGCGTTGCTTGCAGGTTGTTTCGCGAGGTCTGAGGAGCTGAGGGGCGCGGGAGGGTTGTCTTTGTAGTTTCATCATCGCATCACATCAATGGTCGCAAGAGCATCACCAGCCATTGTTCATCAGTTCATTTAAATAAATACAGTTTCTTATAATGCGCTTTAATTGCGGGATGAGATCGCGAAGCGAAAGGGTTATAGTTACAAATACAATGCCGCGGCGTGTCGCGGGCATGTATCGACGAGGGATGTCTATGCAGTGTTGGCTCCTTGGATGCGAAACTGCACGGTCAAGTAGGTGCTTCCACTGGAATTGGTGCTTTTCCTTGAAAGTTAGTGGGAAGGACGGGGGGGGGGGGGGGTAACAATCCGGCTTTCGGGAAATTCTGGATCTTTCAGCTGGCGTCCACTATGCTAAAATACTATGGTGTGATGCCCACTTTCACTGCCCTTAGCATTTGTGCCAGGTACGGAGCCAGATTTCAGAATAGGAGCGGAGCCGAATTTAGGTGATTTAGGACAGAAGGGACTAGGGAGAGGGACTTTGTTTGTTTGTTTTGTTGGGTTAGGCCCTTTCGGTCTGACAAGACCATTGCAGAGCCGGAAGGATGATAGGAATTAGGGGGAGACATTGGTCTGGGCAGGCACCCTAGTGAGTCGCCGGGGCTGAGCCCGTCCAGAGGACAGGCCACCCAGCCCCAAGGCACTCACTGCACCCGGCCATGGATGAAGTAGAACCTGGATCGGCAACTCCTCGATGTTTGTGACCACCGCTAGGTGGCAGTGGTGTCGAGCGCTAAGGACGCGGGGGAGCGGGTGCTATTCAAAACAATGGTCGGCGTCGCGTTGTAGGATCGTTTGCCTTGTTTTTTGAAAATTTAAGCCCCTTTGGAGCAGATTGGAAGGTTTCAGAAGATGGAGGAAGATGGCAAGGTAAGATTGGTAAGTTTTTTTTTGTGGTTGGAGGGTCTGAGTGGCCTAAAATATTACTGTAAAGAGCGGCTGTTGACGATACTTGCGCACATTGCTTCTCGCCGTATGTCGTTAAAAATCGTATAATTTCCGTAATTGGAATGTTTAATCACTTATTTATATGTTTAATTTTATGTTTGTTATATGTTTGTTATATGTTTGACACATCATGTCTCAAGCTTGTGTGTCATTGTCAACCACAAATGACAAAAGAGTGCCGACCCTGGTCCCTGACATCAGCTTCCTTCTTTTCTCAAAGCCAAAAGGTCCAGAGTAGTACGAAGAAGTTTGTGAGTTTCCCTCTATTGAATGATATATAACAATCACCTTTTTTAGAACGAGTGCTAGCCAAACTGTGTGTAGATAGCAGATAGATTTAAGTAAGATAAAGCCATTTTAAACTATGTAAGCCTAGCAGATAAGGTGTTAAGCTTTTGGGTACTTTTGTTTGGGAGTATCTTGTCAAGGTATTATTTATTTTATTTTTTGCCAACATCATCGCAATGTAAAATACTTTTTGTGATGTTGTGGGGAAACAGTTTGCCTTGGAATGCCCTCACTCTCCATTTCATTACGGTATGCTCAGGTATCTAATTTCCCTCTCTCACTCTTTGTTTCAGATCAAAGAGATGGGTTCAGTTTCCACGGTGTGCTGACTTGAATTGGCATCCTGTGATTTGTGATGTGAATTATGATGCACGCACACGCAGGCAGGTGCACGCCCACTGCAGACACGTGTGACGTGACGGCAGCAGGCGGCCGGGGTGTGAACTGTGAACTGGCTCGACCGAAAATGTTTAAGGTATCACAGCGTTTGTAACTGACTAACATACCCACTACGGGCATACCCATTGAGCGGATAATGCGTTCGTGTGCATCGTGTTTGCATTTATTCCCGATATACTCTGGTGGGAGGTGTGAATTGGAAACCAACTTGGTGCTACGACACCGTTTAGTAGGCATGTGGCACGTCGTTTCTCGAAATCTACCTATCAGTCTATGCAATAATATGCATTGTATACATTGTGTGTCATCTTTCACCTTAGTTGTCATTGAACCTGTGTTAAATTCTGAACTTCAGGCCGAGACAGACTATTTCCACAGTCAGGAAATCGCACAAGAGAGCCTATTCAAATCAATCAATCGCACGCAATCAATCAATCAGTTGCAATAGCATCAATCGCACGCAAGGAGGTGCGTGTTATGGATGAGAGTGCGACCGGGGTTTATTTGAATAGACTCTCGGTCTCGCACATGATTTCTGACTGCGGAAAGAATCGGTTTCAGCCTGTACTCAGTAGGCAATTCGCTCATGCGACGGCAAACATAAGTTTAATATGGAAACAGTTTTTTAACGAAACGGTGTATGGTAAGCTTATAATCCTGGAATGCTTCTTGATAGAAATTGTCAGTGGTGCAGATGTTCGTTAATCGATATGACAGCATTTGTCTTGATCTTTATAAGTCAGTCAAAATGGCTGTAGCAATGATTTGGATGTTTCACGGCGGACGGCACATTTCCTCTGCGGTCTACCGACGACTGAGTTGGAATGCTCAAGCTGATCAGGGGCAATCCGAGTGATAGACAAAGTCGTTTGATCGAAGGTATTTTCAGGCAGCTGGCAGAAAGCGCCTGGCCTGGCCATGAGAGCTAACAATACGACGTGCTGAGGTAAAATCGGCCAGTCGCGCTCGGTAAACGACCCACCACTGACCACACCATTCTTTCCAAAACGATACATAGTCTATGGAACCGCCCTGGACCGCTCTTCCGGAACCCGACACTGTTGGCCTATGCCAAACTTAGCCGCGGCTGGTTCAGGCCATGTAACTTGCCGGTCATTTTCGGACTTTGCTGGTATCGGCCGCTGTCTGACTGGGCGGCGGCGGCGGGCTGTCCTTAGCAGGGATCAGTCTGCTCGATAGGTGGCAGCACTTTCGGGCGGTCGCGCAATACAATGGGAATTCCGCGGAGTTGCCGATCCAGGTAGTAGGTAATCCATGACCCGGCTACGGGGTGCGCTCCCTAGGGAGCAGCGGTGCCGCTCCAAGGGAGCAGCCCGCATGAGATAAAGTTGCCTGTCCAGCCCGGAGGGGGGTTGCGGCGTGGAGGAGAGGGATTTCAGTATCCTGAGGATAGAAGCACGGAACGGAGGAGAGGGACTGAGGCGACTGAGGGTAATACACGGGGCTGAGCGGTGCCGGTAGGAATAATGATTCGCGCTTCAAACAGCTAGCAACTGCGCCTAATTGCTCGTGAACACACTAATTTCACTATGAGGCTGGAATGGCGCAAGACTGACGATGAGTGACGCACGCGGTTTTTGGGCCTGTTCCAGCGCCTCCAGAATAAATTCTTGACTGGAGGCTCTACCAGAGGTTTTACTGGAGGCGCTGGAACGCAATCTGGAGATTTCTGGAGATTGGTGTCATAGATACCAAAAGAATGACGATTGTTCTCTCTTGAAACGCAAAATTTGTTTTCAATTTTAGTTAAAAAGATAAATAAAATTATAGCAATGTAATTTTCTTTACATTCAAGTTGTAAAATTATCAGTCAAATGTCCTTTGTTTACATTCGTGATTGTCACATGTGCGCCATAATTGTAGACCAGAGCCTCCAGAGAAATTTGGACCTCTCAACTCTCTGGAGGCTACTGGAGGTTTCTGGAGCTTTGGCGAGAGCTTTCTGGAGCTTTCTGGAGGCGCTGGAACGCTCTCTGGAGAATTCTAGAGCTTTCTGGAGCTTTCTGGAGGTTTCTGGAGGCGCTGGAACAGGCCCTTTGTTGTGGGCGGCGGACGCTTCGCGAATTCTCTGGGCGGAAATTTGAGAGTTGGTTGCTGGGCTGATAGGGCCTTGGTTGCTGATGATAAATGTTCTAGTTCTCTTCTCAGCGGTAGCAGTACCACGATAGGTGAGCTGTCAACGTAATTCATGTCATTCATGTCCGGGTAGTCCATCAGTCTTCTATAATCTAAGTTCAAGTTGGTGCAGTCACCGTGGGATAATCTGAATCCAAATCCAGACCGATGTTGATATTGATATCGAAGCTCAAGCTGTTCTAGTTCTGTCCGTCACGATTCAAACTCATAAGGTTCGTCGTAATTTTTTTGAATTTTCCCACCTTCTGTATTGTTAAAATGTGTTCAATATTTTTAGTGGACCAGGAAAGGAATTAACTGTAAATGCTGCTTCTATGAAAATCAATGTGGGAAAAGGGACCAGGACACCCATACTGCAAAATGCAGCAAGAGCCTTTAGGGCTATTAATCTGCACCATCTGACACCAACCTCACTGGAAATCTACACCAATCAAGCTTTAATTTTTACCATAAAATATGCATATTGCACTTTTGACGTGAACCATAACAACTGCAGTGCAGGGTTAAGATCCATTGTTCTCTGACATATACTTATACCCAGTCTCCCATATATCATTTTGTACAATGATGCTGCACCTGTACAGCAGTTAATCATGGTACCATATTGGGAGTGGCACTGCACTGCTGACTGCTCCACCCGTCCCAAAATCTGCATGATGCTGTGATCAGTCTTTCTTTTATCTTCACCATGTCACATGCACGAACCACTCACTGGCTGAATGTGTTCTCATCAAGATGATCTTATTGAGATTGCCATGTTTTCCTGTCTATTGTCTAAGTCTGGGGAAGGATCGCTCATGATGTTACCTTTACTATTGAGTGATGTAACTCAAAATTTCTTCATTAAACATTTGATTTGGCAACTTAAGAAATGACACATTTGGTACAACAAGCTGAATGCCTGTTTTACCATTCTTGATGGTGACAGATTCCAATCCTATCAACACACCCTTAGTGCCTCCCCTGCCCCTTTGGCCTTTAATAATAACTTATTATTTGGTTCCTTGAATTTATGTGAGAAGACTTTGGAATAAGGCTACTAGATCTAGAAGTTTTATTTTGCTAAGATCAATCTAATTATTAGGTACAGGGGGACAGGTAAAGTGCCATTAGACTTTTATGTTGGTGTGCCTTTGTGTGTGTGTGTTTTTAACTAGATGCTAGATATGTTCTGACTATGCTCGGTAAGTTCATCAATATTTCCATTTTCTTCCTAGTTTACAAGCAATGGCATCCAGTGGAGAAGACAAACCACCATCAGAGTCAATGGATCAGACTCAAGATACTACAAAAAGGTATGTTTAATCGCAAATAAAAGAGGCACATAATATCCCTAATCCCAATAAACCAATAGGTATATTTTATTGTTTTTTTCTGGCATTGATCGGGTTGTTTGTTATTTTTGCTGGAAATATTTCATGTGTAATGTATATTTCATGCCAACATGTACACTGCAGCAGCTAGCAAGCTTTCCTTTAAGGTTTCAAGTGGCCTCATAAATTGCTGTGAATCTACTCAATAAACTATCAGAGTTGTCCTTTTTTTAATCATAGCTGCCCTAACTGCATATGTTGCTTTCTTTTCCTGGTTCTATTCCCTAAAAAGTTGCTGTGCCTCACATGTTTTGCTTCCCTCATCAGCCTGGGTAAGCCCACTCCTAACCCATCTGTGTCTCACATCCCTCAGGCAGCGGACGACGAGCCAGGGCAGCGGCAGCGGCGCGGGCCGGGCGCGATCCACCTCGCCGGCCGGGTTCCTCCTGCCGGGCGTGGCCGCCTCGCCGCCCCGCTTTGTCTCCCTCGAGGAGGTGATGCGAGCCGCCAATGGCGTCAGCAACATGGCGCTGGCGCACGAGATCGCCGTCGACCACGATTTCAAGCTGGAGAAGTACAAGGCACCTGATAACAGGTTAGTTTCTGGTCCCGGAACCGGGTGCGCTGTCCCGTGGGTTTTATCGTAGTTGGTATGAATATCGGTTATTTCTACTAACAATGGTGTAATTGTGATTAATTTTCAAACATCTTGGCTAATATGAAAGCAATGAAAACGTCATGAAAGCAGCTTGAAATGAACGCCAGCAGACTGCAGTCATGGATGAACCTCTCGTGTTGAAAGGGGCGAGCAAATGTGGTACCGTCGAGCACAGCGCCATCTACACCGTTGACGGGAACGATAATGCCGCACACCATGACCGCGATGTATGATGAACATTTTCCGACTAGCCTTTCAAACACAGGCAATGACTGTATCAGCCTCTCAACATGTCGTGGATTAACGAGATTTTGTAACGATTTCGTTTCGCAGAGCAGCGAAAGCGTGGTCTTCTACCTGCGTTTGGCCGCATTAAAATGTATTGCTGCGGCACCGGAAACACTGATCGTCATCATACGCATGCCGCGCACCTCAATGCTCAATGTTGTACTTGCATTCCATGTGCATTATTTCAAATTTTACATTGTTTTCTTACCGTGATGCAAATAAGTAATGCTGATGTGTCGAGGATAGCGCATAAAACATAATTCAGCCTAACAGGTGCTCAATCTGCGTTCGTTTGTTTTTCAGTTTGCTGGGACGAGTGAAGGAGATGACTCACAAAGCTTTCTGGGACATCCTGAAGCAGCAGCTCGAGTCTGAGCCGCCCGACTTCTCACAGGCGCTCAGTCTAATGACTGAGGTCAAACAGGTCAGTGATAAGTCAGCCGGCAGAGGGAGGTCACACGAGTCAGTCATAGGTCTTTCAGACAGGTCAGCCACTGAGGACTGACAGGCTAGTGTTAAGTTGGCTGGCAGAGGTCAAACAGGTCATCTGCCAAGGTTAGATAGGTCAGGTCAGAGGTCAACCGCCGAGATCAAACAGGTCAGTTACATGCTGACCGCCAAGGTCAGACAAGTCGGTCGCCGAGGTCAAACAGGTTAGTGAAAGTCTAGTGACCGAGGCTAGAGGTCAGATTACCGCCGTCTGGCGATCCCGGTCAATGATGAGTTGCGTTTCAACTGTAGAGGTCGTGAGTGTGACTCTGTCGTTTTGTCGAATCCAAACGGATAACACCAGACACGTCAGACCGTCCAGTGTTCAATGAGCGTTGTTGTTGTTGTTGAAGAGTTATGGCGCGCATTCAATGAGCGGTGTTGATTAGAAAATTCCACCGTCGAATGAATGACCGTCGTCCATTTAATTCGGGCACCCATCGCTATGGCTGATGTGGACTGGGCTCTATGTTAGGTCACTATTTGCCACGTCCTTTATAGCTAGGTTTCAGAAGAGTGATGGCCACTGGCCAGATGTCTTCGAGGGAATTGTTTTTCTTTCCGATACGCAATAGCCCATCCCCGTCCGCGGTCGCCGGTACGCGCCCGGCCGCCCGGCATCCCTTCTCGGTTTGGTGCGCCGCTTCGTGCAAGGCCGTCCGGTTTGTCAGGCATGTTTACCGTGCGTCAGGCGGGGAGGTGGGCGAACCGGCTTTGTGGAATGTGATGTTGTGGGAGGCGGGCTGGCCCCGCTGCAGCTCAGGGAGTAAGCTACCGCATCTGCTTTTCTAAGCGTGCCACTGCCGTGGGGGTATAGCTCAGTGGTAGAGCATTCGACTGCAGATCGAGAGGTCCCCGGTTCAAATCCGGGTGCCCCCTCTTTTCACTCTTCTCGAGCGCACGAATAGTAACCGGTAACGCCGCGTAGCCACGGATCAGTCACAAGAGTCTTTTAATCCGCGGCTAAACTGCGTACTCCATTTACGAGTAGTCATGGTACGCTTGATAAATGCTAATGTGATAAAGGCAAGTCACAGGTCTTTGTTTTCGCTAAGCAAAGCGAAATAAGGCGGCAGCATGACGTTGAGCTGTTATGCATCTGATGCCGGCCGCACTCTCCCTCGATTTCGGTGCCATCAACGTTCGACTTTTTTTGATTTAATCACTAACGTGCCTGCGTTTGCCGTATGTTTTCTTGCAGACGCTGCTGTCGCTGCTGCTTCCCCAGCACACGTCACTGAAGAAGGAGGTAGAGGACAAGCTGGACGAGACGGTCATCAAGCAGCAGGCAGAGGCCGGCACACTCGGTCAGTGCATTTGGTATGCTCAGTATAGTCCGTCTCTGAACTGGGTCCCACCAGCAGTGTCGGATGAGCGCTGTCTGTTAGATGTGTTTTGTTCATATTTGTAATATGTGCTCTTGGTGGACAGTGACGAGATTTGCGGATTGTTTGGTTAGTTGTGGAAGGGGAAAGCGAGTCCAGTTCCGGTCCGGAGCCGCTACCCTCTGAGCGTTAGCAGCACCACCTTCCGAGGCATAGGTATCCTCATATGAAAGCTGGATTAGAACCGGTCTACCATATTTTGATTGCTTTATCGCCTTCAGTGCGATAATATTTTAGCCTCTCGAGTTGTTACGCCCTCACCTGACATTTTTCTCCTTTTTGAACCCGTGGCGGTTTTCACCCTCCCCCGCTAATCGTATTCCACCGCTCACCCGCAGACTTGAGCGAGTCCTCTGGTTTCGTGAGCTGTCAATTATGTCTCGGATCTGCGCGCCGCTAACCTGTACTCTTGTCCCGCAGATTTCAGCGAGTACTCTGGCTTCGTGCTGTCCATCATGTCTTGGATGGATCTGCGCGCCGGTGACCAAACTCTCGCGTATCTCCCACAGACTTTAGCGAGTACTCTGGCTTCGTGTTGTCCATCATGTCTCGGATCTGCGCGCCGGTGCGGGACGATGCGATCCGAGAGCTGGGCCAGCGCGCTACTGTAGTCGACGTGTTCAGAGGAATCATGGAGGTGAGGCGATACGCTTGAGCGACGCGGCGGTCTGCGCTGGCGTCATCAGTATATTCACCGTACTTTGTTAATTGATCTTATTCTTCTTTTAAATCCCTAGGATTACTGTAATGTTGATTTGCTAGATCTTCGCAAGGTTGTGAATTGGCTGACTTAGTGTTGTGGTGGTAGTATTGAATATTGATTGGCTCGAGTCTCGCAAATTTATTGTTGTGAATAATACGGTGTGTTCCTTAGTGTGGTTACGATTTCCGTCCTATTCTCACTTTCTTCAGACGCTGGAGCTGATGCGGATCGACATGGCCAACTTTGCCATCCAGCAGGTGCGGCCACACATCATCGCCCAGAGTGTCGAGTACGAGAAGAAAAAGTTTGCCGAGTACCTCAGCACCACCAACGGTCAGTGACAACGGGCTGTCCGTCTGTCGGTCGTAGTTGTGGGCGACCCTGGATTGGTCACAGCTTTTAGGGGTACTCTGGTCTCTATCAGTCAAAGATCCAGGTTTTTCATTCTATAGGTATCAAGTATCAACGTCTAGGTCACAACTATGGCTGGTCGGTCGGTTATAAATCGGGGCCTCTGTAATTTGTAGGCTGGCTACTGTTCCTCTCTTCGAGACTATAGTAACTTGTTCTTGTTATTGTTGTCTTTTGTCAAATATTGCCCTCAAGCGGCGCCACCATTTTCCCAATTCTGTGCTGGATTACCAAGCAGATAAGTACCTAGATAGAGTAGCTAGATTGGCAGTGGACACGGGACGGTACGATAAAAAATTCAAAAAAGTAATTTGGAATCCTTATTATAATTCCTTATCCATTTATTTATTTGGCATAAGCTCCATGCCATGGCTTATCCAATCAAAAGTCAGATGCAAAGCATGTGAAGCGTAAAAAATATGGAAGACAACGTAAAAGAAAGTAAATAAAACACAATGTCCTGATGATTGCCGTGCGGAACCAAAGCCAGGACGGGTTACGAACCACACTTCAATCATTTCGATTTGCGAGTGTGATTCTGCGCCCTCAGACAGACTTTTACCCCCTGTTGAATTGTGGCTGTATTCCTTTCTTTCCTTGCATTTGAGTAGCGTAGCTGCCTTCAAAGCACTCGGTAAAATGCATTATTTTGCTGTGTCGAATTAATAAGTATTTTTGTGATAACTGCCCACCTTAAGATATTGTAAATCGGGATTGGTTAGTCAATAGACCAATGTTTACGCTGTGGCTATGATATACGTTATGCAAGAAGGTTGACTCACGGCTAGCTGATGGTTTGATGGCTATATCCTGGTTATGCAGATTGTGGGCTGAACATTCACCATTGTTTCTTGGTGGCGTAACTAAATCGGTATGGAATGACACCCATTTCCTCAGAAACAGATGTCGGATATAAAACCTAAAAATGTCGTGAATCACAAAAGTTTGTCGTGTAAGAATTACGGAACTGGCGCTCCAATCCCACCCCATTACCCCATCCGTGATCACCGATTGGTACGAGCGCGGGCTCTGTGATTCACCTGCGGTCTGCCGCGCCACCGGGTGTGGGTCGCGGACGGAACCGACCGGCCACCTCCCGTTTTCCTGTCCGGTCGCGGCCATCCCCTCGGGATGACTGGTGGCGAGTCGGGTCGGGCTCCGGTCGGGTTTCCCGGCCACAGCTGGTCGGTAGCGCCGCATCCGTGTTCATCACAGGCGGTACGCAGTAGATGCTGCAGAGATGATGTGTCATCCGTCTCCGATGTCACCCGGTGTTACAGGCGGGGGAGGGGAGGTGGTGTGACCTTCCAGAGGTCAACGCTTCCCCTGGTAGTTGGACTGAGGGACGGTTGTTAGAGGTGAATATCATATGTCCGTTTCCAAAATTAGCTTGAAGATATGTCAAGATGTATGTTATCCTGTTCGTAATATGATGATTCCATGTTAGGTATTTTTTTATGTCGATCGGAAGAGCCTGGAACGGTGCTTTAAACTCACAATGTTTTGTATTATTGATATTTAGCCGACTTTCTGTGTGACCTCTCCCATGCTGATTCCTCGTGACTCTCTGTTCCCTCTATGACCCCTTCCAAACTGACCCTTTGACCTCCCCCCCCCCCCCCAGACGGTCTGCTGGTGACCCGCCAGTGGCTGGAGCGGAACGTGGTATATGACGGCGACCCGGCCACGCGGATACGGGACACAGTCAACGCCGCCTACCTCGAGTTTCTCGACTGGGACGACAGCACAGAGGTGCCAGAGGTGAGAAATGAAAACTCCCTTACAGAGCCGATGTGACGGAGGTGAGAACAGTCTCCCCACACACAGAGTTGCCAAGGTGTCTGAGTTGAGAGCACTCTCCACTCACGGAGTTACCAGAGGCGATGGTTTGCTCACAATTTCGATGTAATATTGGTTGTCAGTTGTCACCTTAACTGTATCGTGGCGTCCTAGTGCTTTTACATTCTTGGTTGCTTCTTGGCGTGACATTTAATGCCATTGCAGTGTGCCTTTCCAGCGCCTCGAACTTTTTTGACTAAATATTTACCAAATTTGTATGCTTCACTCATATTCAAGAAAAGTGTTTTTGTTTATAATGCAGCTGCCGTCCCTCCGGAAATTCTAGTGACGTCGCGAAAGCATCTGGCGTGATCGAAAGGCTTATTTAGGCGTGGCTTTCCCAGCTGAATGTTGCGAAATTAGCAGCTGCAGCGTTGACTTGTTGACCTCACCGCTCTGACGCTACTGCAGCCGCTGCCCTTCGCTGGTCTAACAGGGGCGGATGTGTGGTGTAGGCGGAGACAGATGTTGTTTATGGGCAGTTTCTCTGCCGATCGCGAGAAAGGTGCCTTCTGAAGGTGACCTTACCTCGATGCGGTGTGAGAATGATGGGTTATGTAATATTTATGGCGTCAGTTGGCCAAAGCTAGTTATTGTAGTGTCACTCGGTTGTCCCGGATCTTCAGACCTATGATAGTCTGTTAAAGACCGATGTTCGTGGACAGCTTATCGTCTTTAAGACCGATGATCGTCTGTTAAGTGTTAAGTGTAAAACAGATGCTCGTTTTCTTAGACTGATGATCGCCTGCGAAGGCCCATGATCGTCTGGTTAAGGGACCCTCCCACCTTAACATTAGATTTGAGTTGAGATAGCCAAAATAGGGTCCCTGGCTCACAATTACCGGTTTCGGCACTCACAACATCGAGAAATGCCTTAAATCGGAAATATTGAATTTCAAAATTGCAGCATTTTGATTCAGAGGGGCTAAATGCATAGGAATACCCCTCTGAATGTGTGACGTCAGCGCAGCTAACGATTTTTAAATGTTTGACTAAAACGTTTTGTAGCACGCGGTGGTATATGCAGCTTTGCGTGCAACAAGTGCCGCACTTTCAGCTGCCAAACTATTGCTTCCAAATAAAGCCGCTAGGAACAGCGGAGATCCCAAAAAGTAAACCCAGACTATGGTTATGGTCTATGAACTGGCGCCGCCTGACCAAGCTGCGTCTGGAGGCTCAGTCTGTTCCTTCTTCATATTCCAGACTTAAGCTATGGACTGGCGCCGTCTGACCGAGCTGCGTCTGGAGGCTCAGTCTGACGAGGTCCGTCTCTAGGCTCAGTCTGACCCCCCTGTCCCCCACTCCTCAGACTCTGGTGATGGACTGGCGCCGTCTGACCGAGCTGCGTCTGGAGGCTCAGACTGACCCCCCTTCCCTCCCTCAGACTCTGGCGATGGACTGGCGCCGTCTGACCGAGCTGCGTCTGGAGGCTCAGACTGACCCCCCTTCCCTCCCTCAGACTCTGGCGATGGACTGGCGCCGTCTGACCGAGCTGCGTCTGGAGGCTCAGTCTGACCCCCTATCCCCCCACCCCTCAGACTCTGGCAATGGACTGGCGCCGTCTGACCGAGCTGCGTCTGGAGGCTCAGCAGATGATGACGGCCGCTGCCGCCCTGCTGCTCACATACAGCTCCTGTGGACAGCCTCTGCAGGCGGTCACAGAGTTCCGCAAGACGCTCAAAGACAAACTGATGGCCATCCTCGCCGACGCCGACTCTCCCGAGTGAGTCGTCCTGCGCTGATCGACGGAGACGTGTCTTTGAAAGGGGGATTCGAGTAGTGAAAGGGTCTCTCAAGTGGGGTCTAAGCATTTTGGCTGCCTTTTTGGAAGTTTGATGCCGTGTTTTGACTTGATGAATGACTTGTAGTTTTGAAATGAAATGTTCTAATTTCTCTGACGTACCATTCTTATGGGATCACTGAAGACCGTATCCCTCCCGGTGTCTCCGTGCAGGAAGCTGGCTGAACTGCTGCCAAACGTGGCCGCGCAGTGTGTCTCAGAGGTCCGGGCCGGTCTGCAGACGCAGGGCCTGCCAGCGGCGACGGACGAACAGCTGAAACAGATGGCCGACATGATAGAGCAGCTGCGGGACCCCGGCCACGGACTGCGGGCACTGATCAGTGAGTTATAAACGGGGAGGATAGCCACGGACTGCGGGCACTCATCAGTGAGTTACAATAGGGAGAATAGTGACACTGTGGGCGCTCATCAGTGAGTTATAACCTGGGAGAATAGTGAAGGACTGTGGGGTCTGTTCAGCATAGTATCGGGGACTGGGGAGAATAGTCACGGACTGCAGGTTCTGATCACTGATCAGTAAGTTGTCACCGGGGAGAATAGTCACACTGTGGACGCTCATCAGTGAGTTATAACCGGGGAGAATAGTGAGAGACTGCGGGCACTCATCAGTAAGTGATAAACGGGGAGAGTAGTGAGTGACTGTGGGGTCTGTTCAGTGTAGTGTCGGGGGAATAGCCACCGACTACGGGCACTGATCAGTGAGTGATAAACGGGGAGAATAGTGAGGGACTGATGGCACTCATCTGAGTAATGATGGGGAGAATAGCAGTTACGGACTGCAGGTTCTGATCACTGATCAGTAAGTTGTCACCGGGGAGAAAAGCCACGGACTGCGGGCGCTTATCAGTGAGTTAAAACGGGGAGAATAGTCCTAGACTGGGGGAGGGGGGGGGGGGCTCTGATCAGTGAGCAATGACGGACGGTGGCACGGGCTGTCTGCCTTCGTAAGTTGCCATCATCTATTGACATAAGCGCTGGGAGGACGCTATGCAGGAACTGTGTGACCCGTCATCACACACACTCAACCCATGGACAGCACCACAAGACAGGACTGTTAAGCTGAGATCCTCTGTCTTCCTGACCTCCAGCCTTAGCATCCTGCCACCGTATGTGGAGATTCACGTTCAAACCACTACGAGAAGCGGAGGTCTGTTTGATATTACAGAAAGTCGTTCATGTAGGCGCAGCATCTATCCCGTTTGGTGGGTCTCGAGTCATTCCCATTGAAAATGAACCATTTAATGGCAGTAGTCAGCAGTATCGGCACGCGGCGCAAAGCCCTGGTTTCCGGCTTTCGTTGACTTTTTTGTGAGGTATATTTGGTATATAAAGACCAGTATAGCGCCTTTTGGGGCGACTAACGGAGCGAGCGAGGGGGTGAGTCTTGCACGTGCGAAATTTCGAGGGGGTACCTCCAACTGACTTGTGCACGGCACCCTACTGACCGGTTTCTAGCGATGTGCCAAATTTGAGCACAATCGGCCCAGCCGTTCTCGAGATCTGGGAGCGACACCCTGCACGTGCGCACGTGCAAAATGGGTCCCAACTGACTTGTGCACGGCACCCTACTAACTGGTCCCTAACCGTGTACCAAATTTGAGCGCCATCGGTCCAGCCGTTCTCGAGATCTGGAAACGACCCCTGCACGTGCGCACGTGCAGCAGCACCCCAACTCTGGCACATGGATATGCAGTGCCTAGTGGGTGCCTACCTATATGCCAACTTTCAGCGCAATCGGCCAAGTAGTTACCGAGATATTGCAACAATTACAAAACTGACACCTCTTCGTTTTGCACGTGGCACGTGCATAAGGGGTCACCCACATGCATTGGGAATAGTCCAATACTTGGTAGAAGGAATGAAGCTACCCTACAAAAATTACCGCGTGTAAATCGGTCAAGTGGTTGCTGAGATATAAGCCTCGCAAAAGCGTCCGCACGGCCGGCCGGCCGGCCGCTCATACTCAGAAATTTCCGTTAATCTAAGGAAAGACTCCGCTCGCTTCGCTCGCTCCGTAATAAATAGAAGTAGCGACGTGGAATTCCACGACATACTGGTTTTAAAAAATTGAAGTTTCTCGAATCACTTGTGATTCAGTAGCAATGTTGAAATATTCTGTCATGTTTCACAAGTCTACAGGTCCGGGAGATTAACTTCTTTGTCACGTTTTATTTACAATGGCAGTAGATGTTGGTTTGTGACGGTATTTATATTTTATTTTTGCCCTCTGTGGGTGGGCTGCTTTGTTGCAGTGGACAGTATACGGCTTCGGGCATCCCGATTCATGCGGTGACAAGAAAAAAATGTTCGTTCATTGTAGGTAGAATCGCTATGTCCGGGAAAGGTGTGGATTACCTTCAAGATATTTCTCACCTCAGTGCCTTTGTATGAGTGCATTTCGGCTGTTTGCGTATTTCTAACAAGTTATTTTCAAAGCTAGTTAAGCAAACATGACGTGAGTTAGTTGTCAGGAAAACTTCTTGTAGATTCTGATCTGTCGGTAAAAAAAGAAATCCATATGAGAAATGAAAAAGAGCACATGAGCCCCACAATTTGACAAGAGTGCCTTAGAGGATGGCGAAGATCAAAACCTTACGGAAGCTAAACACATTTCAGACAGCACCCGTACAACTCGAATACTCGTACAATTTTCCCTATGCTGATCTCACGATTTCGTGATCTCATGTCTGAATTACGTGTCGAATAGTGGCTTCCTACTAAACCAGAGCGTTGAACGTTTCGATCGACGAAATATGCATATCAGTTTCTGTGATGATCAGATCAGAAGCCCGCAGTGATGAGTGTTGGGGGTGCCTGTTCCGAGCTGTGGTCGGTCGGTGGTCGTTTGGGGTGGTGCGGTGGTCGGGACTGACTCAGTGTTCCATGATGACTTTGCCGGATGCCGTCACCACGCAGTCTGCTGGTGGTTAGGATAGGACAGGGTGGGATGGGATGGGCGGCAGATTGGGCTCGTGAGTCATGGGTCAGTGCTCGGGGAGTGCGCTCTGATCTGACTGGCGCTCGAACTATAGACGGATTGTATCAGTCTTTTGCGAAACGTTCCGGTCCTTTTATGGTGTTTGGATCATTATTACTACGCTTCTTCTTACTAAGTTCTTGGGTTAGGTAGCGACTTTCGCACTGTACGAGTAGTGTTCAGACCTGATTAGTCACAACTCACAAAAAACGCATACTTTCCCTTGGCGCAAACTTTTCAAAACTTAGATAGGCAAAGAGGCGCCTTACAAGATATTTTGCGCTCGATCACGTTGACCATAAAATTGTTAAGCATATACAAATACAGATTGAAGAGCTAACGCACAGGGAATGTAAATTATCCATCTGTTTAGTGTTTTGATACTTCTGTTTAACATCTAACGTTGAAGAACGACCGAAGAGCTTCGAATACAATTCCGATACCGCCTTCGTGGATCCGCCAAAGGGGGATATTCGTGTTTTCACATTGCATGCTTGCTGCACCCCGTGCTGGCATTTCCCGCTTCGCTCTGTTACTCAATTAGCATGCTGCCGATGATCGATTCTTTCCTTGTAGCTATGCTAATCGGCTGCATTATTCAGGTCATAGACTTAACAATCGGCTGAGTCTAAGGAGTTCGGTAGCGGCTGCAAGTGGTCTGTATTCAGCTGAGGAAAGTGTCGTCCCTTGGCGTAGGCTGGATACTGGGAACCTCATTGATGACAATTAGACATTCTAACATTAGACATCCTAATGTGGACAAAAGGTTATAATAGTACGTTGTGGGCGCTAGCTGTGGTTAGGATTTAAAACAGAACATGCACATCATAATACTCACCAGGATTGTGCTTGACTCATGAGTCGAGTCAGAAATTTGACTCAACTCTGACTCAAATGAGTCAGATTTGAGTCGAGTCGGATAAAATGTTGAGCTGTTGAGTTGAGTCAGAGTTGAGTCGGACAAAAATATTAAGGCGTTGAGTTGAGTCAGAGTTGAGTCAGTAAAATAACTTTTGACACAAAGTTGAGTCAAACATTTAGGAACATGAGTCAGCTGACTCAACTTTCTAGAAACAAGCTTTTCATTCCCCCCACCCCGCTTAACAACTTAGCCCTGGCCCTGCTGCCGGTTTTTTTCACCCCCCCCCCCCCCGCTCAACAATTTTTCTATCTGAGTCAATTTTGAGTCAACTCACTTGTCTCAACAAAAATTTTGAGTCAAGTTTGAGTCGACTCATATTTTCATTCAGTCGCTTGAGTCATGAGTCGAGTCAAGGGTAAAAATCAGCTCCTTGTTTGAGTCAGAGTTGAGTCAGGGCTTTCTGAAGTTGAATGATGAGTCGAGTCGGCAATTTTTTTTTTTGAGTCGAGCACAACCCTTCCGTAATAGGACCATTGTCACAACATAAATGTGTAGAATGGAATGGGCACGAATAACGGTATCAATAAACTTAATTGGCTAGCAGAGCAGTTTCAGGTGGGATACCATTCAACTGATTGCAGACCATAACATGCCCCTTATTCACCATATGTCCTGGTTCCCTTAGTCATCGCCGGTTTCCGCCGACACCTCTGTGGTCTGTGTGTGGCGTGCGAGTGGTTTGCGTTTTCACGTGATTATCGGCTCGCTACTGTCGGCGGGTGATGGCTCACTCTTCCGGTGCCTCACCGACACATGCCTCGGTCAGCTGTGTTGGGGGGGGGATGAAGGGGGACAGTCTGGAAAGCCCCAGTGTCATGTCGTTAGCCGAGTCTTCCATCATCTCCGTTCCCCGCTAAATCCGCTCCCCCCGTGCCGCTCCCCTGCCTCCTCAGTGCTGCATCCCTGCCCCTGGGCTGCTCCACGGTACCCCAGCTGCGCGCCCCTGCACCCCGCCGCTCCCCGCCACCGGTCACCGAACCTCTGTCCGTGCTCCCTACCTTCCATATGTGTCCACTGTCTACCACCGGGCACTGTACCGGTTTGTACCAGATGAGGCCGGTAGAACCCTCTAAACACTGCCAGCTGCCGGTATTTGCGACAAAGTGGCGTCCGGTGGCACCCCTCCGTACAATCGTTACCTTTGAAGTTGTCAATTCGTATCGTTTTTGGATGTGATTTTAGTGACATTATTTTATCAATTCAACCATCCCTATGAAATACTGATCGGCAATCCCAAGACTGTGCTTTTCACTTGACCGAGATTAGTGCAAAATGCAAAGCTCTGGTTAAGACTGAAGTGTCTGACGGCGTGTCACCTTCTCCCCCCGGCAGGACGGCGTGTTCGCGAGTTCCTGTCGACCATCATCGGCTCCACCACGGCCACGCCGATGAAGGTGCCGCCCGGCCTCTCGTCCACCTCTGCCGAGCTGGCTCGTGTCGGCGGGCAGCTGCTGCGTATCGTCTCACACAACCGAGCGGTGTTCGGTGCCCACTATACGGAGATCCTGGAGGGAGCCATGCCCCGGCTGGACGCCAACCGAGCCGCCGGGGAGGCGGTGGGGGAGGCGACGCTGCCGCCGCAGCCGGGACCCGCCAACTGAAGGGGTCTCGATTTTTGTGTGTGTATGTGGGTGCAGGGGGTATGAGGCCTCTGGTAGTACACCTTCCGCCGACGCAGGCCTGTCTACCCGGCTCGGAAAGGAGCAGACGGACGTGACCCGTGGTCAGCAATGTGACGAACTAGTGACGAAAGAGCTGAACTGCTAACCTACTGGAGAATCTGCTGCTTAAGTCCAAAGGAAATGTGTATGTGGGACTGGTGGGTGCGCTGACGTTGCGGTGAGGGTCGCCGTCACAGTCTGGCCTGTGATAACCTGTTGTGAATGTGCTGGACATAGTGTCGAGACCGCCGGTGTACCGGATATTTCTTGTGGTGAGGACGCCCGTTGCAGCTGTGATAGGATAGCGACCCTGTCTGTGAGCCTGAGAACCTGCGAGCTCTCTGCAGTGCAGAGATTTAGTCATGGCATAGAAGGACCCACCATATGGATTGACGATTGCACTAAATTGATTTTTATGGCAATTATGTTGCAAATTTTATATTTCTATGCAGACGTTTGTAACGGCTACTTTCGCGCACGCGATTTGTTCCCATTGGAAGACAGTACGTGATTAAGTCAATGCACACAAAGCATGAGACAAGCGCTCGCGAGGCAGCGCTGTTAAATTGCTGAGCAGCCGTATATGGTGCGCTCAAAGGTCTTCTCGCCTGTATTACGTCATGACTTGTCATGACATGCTAACCATCTCGATGTACTGCTACCGTGTTCAGCGATATTTTGGCCCTCCAATGTTTGTAAATGGTTTCATAATTAAAAATTTGTCCCAACTTATTGAGCCATATTTTAATCCATTTCGTTTCACCTTTCCTTTGATGTGTTACCGTTCCAGACTCATAACAATGTATTATTTTCATAATAACTTATTAACATTCGTCGTAATACCTCATTACACACTATACGCACCTGAATCGTTATTGTCAGTGGATTTGATAGGTTTCGTGGCTGTTATGAATTAATTAATAAGGTATCTAACCTTTCAGGTCGTAAATACAACCAAAGATAATTTGGCTCTTGGGTTTGTCTCGACGAGCAAATTTCAGTAACGCGACTCTGACCATGCACTTTGTTTTCATGCAATATACACTAAACGGTACACCACCTGCCTTTAGAACCTGTGGAGGAAGAATTACATATCATCTTGGTACCACCGTTTGAATGCAAAAAATGGCCTGAACGCTCTGTCTGAACCCTTTCCAGAAGTGGCTGATATAAGATTGGTGATCTTTGCTACAAATCTTCTCTGGTGGCGCTACGCTACGTTTTTAATTTCAGCGGCTCAGTGCCAGGGGCTATTTGTCATGCGATCCATGCGATCTGTCTGTGGTCAACTGATTCCAATGAACCCAGCCTGCCCAAAAAGCAGTCCTTGATTTCGAAGTAATGCGATCATGGCTTAGCATCAAGTTGTCGAAGGATTAGAAAAGAAAGTCGAGTGACAACGACAAGACGACCAAATTACTCGCAGATTGGTACCCATCCATGGACGGGTGCAGCGGGGTCACGGGTCATGGCCGAATTTTTTAGATACCTATAGGTATAAGCCCACGAAAATGATAAAAATGTAACTTTCTAGTGTTCCCAACGATTTAGGATTTCGTTTGGTCTGTCAGTGGACCCATTTATTTAGTAACTGCCGACTTACGGGCAACACTCAACACTGTAAAAATATATTATGTCGTACAAATAGATTACAAATGCAGCATAGGTCTGAAACGGGGACCGTTTAGTAAGACGTTAAAGGGACCCTCCCACCTTAACATTAGATTTGAGTTGAGATAGCCAAAATGGGGTCCCTGGCTCACAATTACTGGTTTCGGCACTCACAACATCGAGAAATGCCTTAAATAGGAAATATTGAATTTCAAAATTGCAGCATTTTGATTCAGAGGGGCTAATGCTTAGGAATACCCCTCTGAATGTGTGACGTCAGCGCAAATATCTAACGATTTTTAAATGTTTGACTAAAACGTTTTGTAGCACGCGGTGGTATATGCTATTTGCGCGCAACATCTGCCGCAAACGCCGCACTTCTAAAATAAAGTCGCTAGAAACAGCGGAGATCCCAAAAAAGTAAACAAAAGTAAAAGTCTAATATCTTGAAAACCGGTGAATATTTTTCGATAAAATTTGGTAGATATTGGTTTTCGCTCTTTCTGAACCGAGCGACATCACTTTCATGCCAATTCATTGACTTTTTTGAAGGTGGGAGGGTCCCTTTAAGTGACTGCAACGGTACCCATAATATTGGCATCAAATTAGGCGGCGACTGAAAACGGTACTAGGTTGCTAGGCAACCTGCTTTCGTTGTCTTGCGAGATGCAAGTAAAGAACAGTACCCAGTTTTGAAAGTTTCCGTTTTTGACGCCTTGATTTCGGCGGGCACTTCAAAAATCACATTGGCGACGGCACGTGGTCGTGAAGCTGAAATCGACTGATTGCTGGTTTTGGTGAAAACTTTTTTTTTTAATTTTGTTGACCATCAAAAGTCAAAACTACAGAAAGCAAGGCTTTCGGTCGGATCCATGGTAAGTGGGGAAATTGGGGTGAGAAAACCACAGCTCGAGCCGGGGTTGAGGATGAGAAAAAAGGAAGTAAATACCAATGTTATGTTTGCAAAGTTACACCTGCTTTCCCTGAGAACTGAATTTTACACTGAAAAGGGCAAGGATGATGCAAAAATATATTGCTCATTTTGACAAATCAAATGTTGAAATGTTCCGTTTAATGAAAAACCATCAAATTCGTATCTGTATTCAATGTAAATTGTAAACGTGATTCAATTGTTTTTTAATCAATGCATTGATACAATACAGATATAATGATTATGATTGAATCGTTTGTGTTCATAATCATTATATCTGTATTGGAGACTTATGGAAAGAAAGGAGGATAAAGCTCAAAGAGAATCCAACATCATCATTCACAACATACCTGAAAGCAGGGCAAGTGATCCGGAGAGCCGGAAGAAGTATGATTTAGACAGCTTTGACAACATCGTGAGTGCACTGCTCGGGGAAAGGGAAGAAGTCAAGGTAAACAAGATCTTCAGACTCGGAAAGAAAAGGACGCAGGAAGATGGGGGGGAAGAACCCAAGCCTCGACTTCTTCTTGTCAGCCTTAAAAACAAAGAGGATGTCGATTCACTGATGAAGAGAAGATGGGACTTGAAGGATGTTGGGTTTAGCAATGTGTACCTGACACATGATCTATCACCAGAAGAACGGGAAGAACAAAAAAGGCTGAGGGAGGAATTGACCAGAAAAGGAAGGGAGAACTACAGGATCTTTCGGGGGAAGGTCGTCCCCAGACACTAGGCAAGTAGGTTCAACTTGTCAAATGAGTTGCTTGTATACAAATGCAAACTGTTTGAGCAATAAGCTTAGTGAATTAAGAGGCAGGTTAGACAAGGAAAAACCAGATGTGATGGGTATCACTGAAGTTTGGCAAAAGCACGACTTTGAAATAAATGGCTACCAGCAGGTGCGGAAGGACAGGAAGGCAGGTCGGTTGGGAGGAGGTGTGGTTATATTAGTAAAGGACTGCTGGAAGATTGAAGAATGCAATGATTTAAACGAAGACGCTATTGATGACTGTGTTTGGTGCAAAATCAGAATCGGCAAACATGCCTGCCTACTAGTAGGAGTTTGTTACAGGACACCAAGTAATACGCCAGAAGACAACACAATATTGAACAACCTACTGAAGAGAGTGCCAAATGTAAATGCCAGGAACGTATTGATCATGGGAGACTTTAATTTCAGACAGATACATTGGGAAAGTCAGACAGTTGAGGGAAGTGATGATTCAGAGGAAGCAAAGTTTCTTGACACTATACAAGATCTTTACCTCTATCAGCATGTGCGTCACCCTACTCGTTTCAGAGATGGACAGGATCCATCCAGACTTGACTTGGTATTTACAGATGAGCAAGGGATGATTGAGGAGGTCAACATAGGGGACCCACTAGGGAAAAGTGATCATGCTGTCCTATCGTGGACCCTTTTCTTGGGAGAAAAGCCTGATAGAATGGCAATTAAAAGTAAGGCAAGCCTGAACTTTGCAAGAGCCAATTTCCCAGGGATCAGGGAAACACTAGAAATTGTTGATTGGAATATGCTAAATGATATGACAGTAGAAGATATGTGGCATTGCATCAAAGAAAGGATTAACAAATGTTTTGAAACCCTAGTTCCAAAGCACAGCAAAAAGTCAAGCAAGAAGGCTGCGCCCTGGTGGAACAGGGAACTAACCAAGGCGGTGAAGCTCAAACATGATGCCTGGAAAAAATATGCTATATCCAAGTCAAGTGAAGATTATAAAGAATACACCATGCAGCGTAATATCACTACTGGTAAAATCAGGAAACACAGACACAACTATGAAGCAGCACTGGTCAGAACAGTCAAGCAAAATCCAAAACAATTATACAAGTACATCAGGAGCCAGCAGAAGGTCAAACCAGCTATACATGCAGTTGAAAATGGTACAAGCTTGACCTCAAATGATCAAGAAACTGCTGAAGCCCTGCAAGATTTCTTCAAAACTGTTTTTGTGAAAGAGGGCGATACTCCTCTACCAGACTTCGAGGAGCGCGTGCAACCTGAGGCAGCCATCACAGACATTGAGATGACTACTGAATCAATCAGAAACGAACTTGTCAACTTATGTGAACAAAAAGCACCTGGTCCTGATGGTATCCCCAGCATTGTGTTGAAGAGGTGTGCAGAGCAGCTAACTCGACCTCTTTACAAGTTATTCACAAAGTCACTTCAAGAAGGCCAATTACCACAAGATTGGAAGGATGCTAATATTGTCCCAATCCACAAGAAAGGTAACAGAAATAAACCAGGGAACTACAGACCTGTAAGCTTGACCAGCCAAGTTGGAAAAGTGATGGAAAGGTTGATTAAAAGGAGTGTGACAGCTCATCTCGAGAGAAACAACCTCCTGAGCCAACAACAACATGGTTTTGTATCCAAGAGGTCTTGTCAGACCAACCTGCTGGAGGCCCTCGAACACTGGACGAAAGCTATTGATGAAGGACGAGGTGTGGATATATTGTACCTGGACTATCAAAAAGCATTTGACAGTGTACCCCACAAGCGACTGATGAAGAAACTCTACGGATATGGTATCAAGGGAAATGTATTGTCTTGGATTAGTGCATTTTTGACAAACAGAAGACAACGAGTGGTGGTAGGGACAGATCACTCTGAATGGTGTTCAGTCATCAGTGGGGTCCCCCAAGGGTCAGTGTTGGGACCAGTCCTGTTCATCATGTTTGTCAATGAGCTGCCAGATCTTGTGCGCAGCAACATGAAAATGTTTGCGGACGACGCCAAGATATACAGGCCTATTCAAGCAAAACAGGACGCTGAGACTCTCCAACAAGACATATCACTTCTGCAGAAATGGTCTCAGGACTGGCTTTTGAGATTCAATGAGGCAAAATGTAAAGTGATGCACTGTGGTTCGAACAATCCAAGTGTAGACTACTTCATGTCAGATGGCACAACCAGTAAAAAACTACAAGTCAGTACCCTGGAGAAGGACCTAGGAGTTTACATCACAAACAACTTGAAGCCATCAGTCCACTGCCAGAAAGCTGCTTCTAAGGGTATGTCGGCCCTACGTATGCTAAAGCAAGCATTTGATAGACTGGATCTCGACAACTTCAAACCTCTGTTCACCACCTACGTCCGCCCACATCTTGAATATGGTATGCAGGCTGTTGGCCCGTACACTGCAAAGGACATCAAGCTGCTGGAACAAGTTCAAAGGAGGGCGACAAAGCTTGTAAAACCTTTAAGGAGCACACCCTACCCAGAGCGCCTCCGCAGTCTTGGACTTCTTAGCGTAGAAGACAGACTGCGTCGAGGCGACCTCATTGAAACATACAAGCTCCTGACAGGGAAGGTTAAGGTGGACAGTGAACAGTTCTTTGAAGTCGACCACGAAGACCGCACGAGAGGGCATCATCTGAAGCTGAAAAAAGGCAGATCAAGTCATCTATACAGGCTGAAGTTCTTTTCAAACAGAGTAGTTAATGACTGGAATGGATTGCCTAGAGATGTGGTGGAGGCTACTTCTACA